CCCATTTACTGAACCAAGTGGGAAATAGCCAGGCAGGCACAAAGGGTTTGCACCAGGTCTGGGGACACAGGGGACACCGTCTTAAAGGGGCAGTGTCCCCAACAAGTCTGGGGACACGGCCTAAAAGGGGCAGGGTCCCAATCTTCCTGATGTCCCAAAAAAAGGTGTTTAAAGGGCCAGCACCAGTCACATAAAGAGTCCATAAGCCCCAATATGCCCACCGACAGTCTTAAAGGGCCATACACACCAAATAAAAGTGCATACATTTTCACAATCTCCCAGGGGCCATAGTCATGCTGGAGGAGGCTGGCAAGTAGGGAAGCAGGGCAATTTGCCATTTAAAGGGCCCGTTACAAATAGTGCCTTGTAAATAAGGTGTCAATCCATATCTGCCAAGGACTGGCTGTAGGGGACCAGTCCCTATTCTGCTCTGTGTCAGTGTGTATCAGGAACCTTAGGACAGGTGTCAATCCATATCTGCCAAGTGACCCGATGTAGGGGGAACAGTCCCTATTCTGCTCTGTGTCAGTGTGTATCAGGGATCCTTAGGACAGGTGTCAATCCATATCTGCCAAGTGACCCTATGTAGGGGGACCAGTCTCTATTCTGCTCTGTGTCCGTGTGCATCAGGGGCTCTGAGGACAGGTGTCAATCCATATGTCAAGGTGTCAATATGTCATATGTCAGGTGTCAATCCATATTCATTGTGATTTAGGAATGTTAGGTGATTTCTGCCCTTATGGATTAAAACCAGACTCTGCATCAACTGTGTAATTTTCCATGGGAGTTTTGCCATGGATCCCCCTCTGGCATGCCACAGTCCAGGTGTTAGTCCCCTTGAAACAACTTTTCCATCCCTATTGTGGCCAGAAAGAGTCCCTGTGTGTTTTAAAATTCGCCTCCCCATTGAAGTCAATGGAGTTTCGGGCGGTTCGCAAATGTTCGCGTTCGCCGTTCGCGAACCAAAAATTTCGGGTTCGCGACATCACTAGTCGTCCTTAAATACTGGGTAAGTCCATTAAACAGTGACATAGCATTGTTACCCTTTGTATTATGTTGTCACAGCTATAATGTGCAATATTACAAACTATTCATAAGTGTTGTGCAAATTGTTCATTAAAAGCCAATGATCTAGCGAGCTATAGAACATTTATTTCTAAATGACCTCAATCGGCAAAGCAATATTGTAATGGTGTCCATTGCAATCTGCTGTCTTACTTGCTGCTCTCAAAAATTCTGAATATGTTCAGAGATTTCTTGGGCAATAATAAATCCCCCTAAAACAACAACTTTGTATTTATGCTAAATCTGCCTGTTGTAAACATATTCTGTATATTTCTTGTCATAAGTACTTGTACTTAAATCTGTTTAACAAAGCTGTTTATATTGTGGTGTAAAATATATTTTTTATTAATATTATTTATTTTATTTATTTATTTTTTTACTTTGCTTAATTTTTAAAGATACCTGCATATTTAATTAAATATCCTTTATATGTCTTTAAGGCATAAAATATCTGCAAATTAAGATTATATACAAAAATGCATGTTCTGGGTGTTCCCGTGATTCCTTTTCTATTATTTATTTTTTTATTTAAAAAAATTTAAGTCTGGAATCTGATTCTTTTTGGGATGAGCACCCCTCTGAGCCCCCCAGTTTCAGAGGCTTCTTTGGATGTGACCACATATAAAATAGATGTGAGGGGGCTTTGGACAGTAAAGTTACCTTAATTATACATATAGCAGATATGTGAAATGCAATGTGATTTAATATATCAGAGTATTATCACTTTAATTGACACTGCATTTTTTTATGCATTATTCTTTATGCATTATTATTTTTCTTTTTTTTTTCTTAAATTTTAATGTCTGTTTAGAATATTGCAGGCTTTGCAATATCAAATTAATTTTGCATTATATATATATTCACAATGCTCTTACAACATATTATTAAAATTAGCCTCTTTCAGAATTGTAGAATATGTGGTGGAACTGAATCCTCATATGACATTTGAAACTGTATTTTATTTCTACGCTGTGCCCTAATCAGTATTTATATACATAATTGCGACAGCATATAGTTTTTAAAGAAGCAATTATTTCACCCTTCATGTGTGGTTGACTGTGGACTTTTTTTTTTTTAATTCTTTATTTTGGTTGTGCATGCATATACGATAGAGTACAGGCAAGCCTATGATATGTCACATTAGCATTGGCAAGCTTCCATAAACACAAACAATGCATTACATGACATATGAGGAACATGCACAGTTAGTTTTTTGTTTGTTTTTTTTTTTTGGGTCAAACAAGCTTCAACATTTTATGTGAACAAGTAGGTAACAGATGAGACTTGCACATTTTTAGGATATGAGTAGAAAGGAGGTGATCATGTCACTATACATAGTGTGAGATTTAAACATGTTTAAGGGCAGGTTTCACAAGCAATAACAAGATTGGTATAAACAGTTTTGTGGCCTTGGAGTGAAGTTACATGTCACGGTTCCACCAGTAGCATATAATACAGGTTGTAGGGTATCCATGTTAATCTATGATACTCAAACAATAGTGGTAGTAACTTGTTGCACCTGTTAGTTAGCTTATGAGAGATAAATGTTAACATAGATATTTACGCCTATATCTGCATATCTATGGTTTGTACTGACAGTAGCTAACAAGGCCTAGGGCCCCTGGAAACAAGTTGCCTTTAAGGCAGTAACTAGAGCGAGGAGGTACAATACAAGTAAAATGGCGGACATTAAAACAAGGCCTTAAAATAAGGGAACTGCTTTTTCTTGCAATGTCATTTATGGCAGTTATCATAGATTTTGCTCGTTCGAAGGGTGATATAGGCTATATGTGTTGTCAGCCTTAGTTTAGTGGGCATTCTTAATAATTTAACAAGGGAATATGAAATGTATACCTCCCCTTTTTTTTTTTCTTAATAACTGATTGAGACCTCTATATTCTATTTAATACGTTCACCGGGTTATTTGAGACTATTGTCTTTTTTACATGTGTTTGACTCGCGTGTTGCATCTAAACATATTAACTGCAAACAGGTTAAACATGAATGGTTACAGACTGCCTTAGGTTATTGCTGATTGTTGGATATCTAGACACCTGTGTCCACTGGATGGACCAGGTAATTTGTCACAATAAGATATACAAGTTGAGGTCATGTTTACAAATCATTATAAGTATGTTGATTGTAAGCTGCTGCGTTAGGATTAAGGTAACCAGTGTAGTGAGAATTGAGTGGTGATGTCTCTGGGAGTGGGTCTCTTGTGGGTGGTTGGCAGTAGATATAGAGCGTACAATGCTCTGGAGAAGATGGGTTTAGGTGTCCCAGAGTGATATAGTCTCCGTGTTGTTTCTTTAAGTTGGGCCCTGTAGAGTCCGTAATGGTAGAGAATATGAGAAAGCTGTAGCCCTCGTTATCATGGGCTCAGTGTTGGCTGTCTGTGTTACTGTTGCGGTCGGTCGGGCGGTTAGTCGGGCTGCTGCGGGGTACTGTGAATAGTCCCGGCTGCTTCGGATTTATTACCTTCCCCGTGTCTGACGGTATGTCAGGTGCCCCCGGGGCGTGTTTGGTATTTCTTCTAGGAGGTGACCGCTGCGTAAGTAATCGGTGTGGAGTCTCGTGGGATAAACGGTGCGCCCGGTGACCAGGTATGGGTTGAAGGAGTATTGTTGGTAATCTCCACCTGGTTGAGATGTTCATGTGGCAGGCCCAAAGTCTGCAGTAGGGCCTGTGCTTCCTGCAGGTCCTGGATGATATGCGTGGTCGCTCCTTGTTTCACCATCAGTCCCCTTGGGGAGCACCAGCGGTACTCGATGTTGTGGGATTGAAGCACAGAGGTAATCAGCTTGAGTGACCTATGCCAGGCCAGGGTGCCTCCGGATAGGTCCGGGTAGAATGTCAGGTTCTTAGTCTCAAAGCGTAGGGGGGTTCTTCCCCGCAGGGCTGCGAGAATAGTCGCTTTGTCTTTTCGTTTACGAAGAGTGATTATCACATCTCTTGAGGCCGTGGCCGGTGCCTTCTCAGGTTTAGGGACCCTGAAGACCTCCTCTAGTGCAGGTATTACGGTGGCACTGTTTGTCAGAATCACTGGCATTAAGCGCTCCATGACTTTTGGCAGATCATCCTCTGATATTTCTTCAGGGACTCCCCTGATCTTGAGATTGTTTTGCCTCCTGGAGTCTTCCTGCGCTGCCATGCATCGTTCAAGGTGCTGGTTCTGCTGTCGCAGCTCTTGTATGGAGTGCTGCATAGAGATTATGTCCTGGGCCTGGGCCTGTGAGGCTCCCTCCAGAGTGGAAATGTGGCCTGTCAGGCCTTGTATATCCATGCGGAGCGCTGTGACATCCTCGTGGATGTGTTTCTGCAGGTCCGCCAGCAGTGTTTTGAGGACCGCTGTGGTAACTGGCTGTGAGTCTGTACCAGCTCCCCGTTGTTTTACCTTTTGCTTGGGGTTGGGAGTCGGAGTGTAGTCTTCCTCCATGTCGTCGGATAGCTCCTCGGAGAAGTCTGAGCATCCTCCGTGCAGCGCTGCTATGTTGGACTCGCCGGTGCCCCGGGCCTGACTCCACATTTCTCCTATCGTAAGTCCCGATGTGGGCTTGTGTGGGCTCATTTTTTTCCCCCTCCGGCCCATACGTGCTTAGGGTGGATTCCGTTGGTCCGGTTGTATGGGGGGGGGGTTATTGTACGTAGTTTTAGCTTCGTTTAGGACACGGAGCTGGTCCCTCTTGCGACCGTTCTCTTCGGCGTTCAGGCTCCGCCCCCAGACTGTGGACTTTTTAATACTTACTTTTTATTTTTTTTTATAAATCTGTTTCTGGCTCTGAGAGAGCAGGCTGCTGAATGCTTGTAAATGCTGTTATTGCCTAGGCTATATACATTTATTTATAAACAACATTGATATATTTATATATAAACAACATTGAAATTTAATTTAATTTTATATTTTATGAAAACCTAGTTTATGAAATTCACTGAGATTACATGTATCTGATCTGATTACAGTCAGTAGTACAATATCATTGTTCTAATTTCCTTACTGCTGATTTAAGTAAGCTTTCCCTTTTAAAATTGGTGGACTTTACTGCCATTGCAATAGACTAAAGACTGTACCTGAGTAAGCAAAGTCATTATGTGCAGGAATTGTGCACTTTAAATAGTAGTATACTTAAGCTATTCTAGTCAATTGGGCTGGCTGCTTAACACATCATTTAGTATCTTTTGGTCACATTTAAAGCTGTAAATGTATTTAAAATTTTATTTAAATAAGCCTTTAATAATTTCAGTTTAAAAGTTATCAGAGATCCTGTATAGTTACCATTTTATTTTGCCCCGCTTTATCTTACGTATATATTATGTTTAATCATTTTATAAATATTTATTTTTGCATAGCATTTAGAGAAGCAAAGGATGTATAACCACCTGCTGCCCTTTTTTCTAGGAGGATAGTATAATTTCAACTCTGTTTAGGAAAAAAAATAAGCTAGTTATCATATATTATATAATATAAATGCTGCAGTGTACTGCATTGTACTGCACTCAATGTATTTAAAACCCATATCTTTCTCTTTATGGCTGTATGTGGTAATGTTGTTCATAATTTGGAATATAAAACGACTTCTTCTCAATTCCTTGGAATGTTTACATGTCTCTGTATCTCCGCAACCTTGGCTGGAAATTCCAGACTCCAAAAATAGTTATGCTGTTATAATTCCTGATTTTCAATCAACAGCTAGTGTAACTGACAATATGGAAATTATCACTGTTTTATAAACTTTTCATATATAGTGGACTGTCTGTCGCCTCTGTGTCATGAATGTTTTCATTAAGCCATAAGGCAATTTTCTTTGCATTCTTGGAATTAGACTTCAAATTTCATCGCTCTGTCTTATCACTTTTCTTTTGACAACATTTTGCATTAATATTTTTCCTGCGCATGCATACTAAGCAGCTACAAAGAGAACATATCCCCCTGTCTGCAATCCACTGTCCTGGAACTAATGGGCCATGCTGTGCTGGTGTATTAGGCATATCAGGGAGTTTACCAAATATGTATATTTGTTCTATTATGATATTAGTTAAGATCCACAATTTCAACATTGTATGTTAATTACGTTGTACCTGGCACCTGAACTCGAAGTGCTTTGTTCACATTAAAATCATCTCTAATGAAGAAGATCTCTCTCTGAGTCTGGGCTACAAATAGCTCAATAGATTCTTGATATTTCAAGACTTGTGCCATGACAAAGTATTGTGTCTTCTCTTACGTATAAGAGGTTACCTAGGTATTTATTTTATACTTAAAGCTTCCAAGTACAAAGTCCCTTCGTGGTCGCCAATTGTAACCGCATGTGGTTCCCTTATTTACCACTATAATGTCTTAAAGCATAGAACTTAGTAGGGTTAACCATACAGATATCTTAGCCATAATTTTATATAGTGTAAGAGATCCTCTATTTAACATATATAAATAATTGAGAATACAATATAAAATAAGGATTGTCTTGGAAGCAATAGTTTTGTCTTTTGGATATTTATTATATAAAAATATAAATATAAAATCCATTATAGCAGAGTTTATAAGATTAAATTAAATGCTTGCAAATATCATTAATAGGTTAACATACCCTTCTGAACATGTCATCATGTCAGCCTCTCTGTCATTTTAAGATGAAGCACCGTCTGTCTCCAAGTCTCTCCTCTGTCTCTTAACATTTAAAAGTACACCTATTTATACCTTAGGTGTCTCCATTTTCGGGTTACCGTAGTTCATTTACTTTATTCATTTTAGGACCTCCCTTAATTTGGCAAACATACAAGGCCATAACTAAAGGGTGCATACGTCATGGAAATTTTCCTGACTTAATTCAAGATGGCATCTTAAAGTCTGAATAGGTTATCTGTTGTTTATACTAAGTCGTAAGTGTACAGTCGTGGGAGATTCCCGGATTTGGGGAAGTTCCATTAACTTGGGGTTACCACAGTATATTGTGTACTGCAAGTGTCGTAGTATAGCCTTGAAGCTTGTTTATGCATTATTGTTATTGTAATTCGTCTGGGACAAAATGGCGCAAACATATTATGCACTGAGGTTATTGCTTAAAGAAACATCTATGAAAAACAATATGTTCCATTTCTAACACCTTGTCAATTTGCAATATCTCTTAAAGACAAAGTACACAGTTTAAGAAATACAACATTTCATTCTAAAACTTGTAATATTTGCATTTGCCCATAACACCACTGTAGAATTTTCCAGGACTTCTTTTGAAACCAAGCTTTGGTGGAAGATGAGGTATGCTTGGGATCATTGTCTTGTTGGAAGGTCCAATGATACCCAAGCTTCAGCTTCCTCACAGACAGCATGACGTTTTCTCCTAGGATTTCCTGATACTTCAATGAATCTAGAGTGTTCTTTTCAGCGTATGCTTTATTATTCATCAGACATACTGATGATCTATTTGTCAGGATTACAGAAAGATCCAGCACGTAGAATTGTGTAACACAGAGGACTGATAGGTAGCGTATACCGGACCTTAGAATGGCCGGACTAACGTACCAAAGAATAGTCAGGAATAGCCAAGGTCAAGGGATACAGAAAGAGACACAACGATAAGGAAAAGCCAGGAGTCAGGGATACCAGAAAACAGGGAAGTCAAAAACAATGCCAAAGTCAAATAACCAGAATAACCAGAATCAATAACGCGGTCTCGGACAACCACAAGGGAAACCACGACAGGGCACTGAGCAGGATGAGAACTGGGCCTAAATACCCCTCCTTTAGATCTGATAGGCTGTAACCAGCCTTTGGCCCCAAAGGCAGTAACCAGGTTCCCATTTGCATAATTTCTGCTCAGCATTAACCCTTCTGTGGATTTGGTTGTTGCTCGGCACAACTTTTCCTGTGTGGACAGTAAATTCCATTAATCACATTTTTATAAGCGGGTGAATACGTGACATTACCCCCCCCCACCTGAAGAACGCCCACCGGGCGGACAGGACCAGGCTTGAGAGGAAATTTGGCGTGAAAATAGCGAATCTTGCGGCCAGCATGTATATCAGATGCCGGAACCCAAGAATGATTGGCTGGTCTATAACCTTTCCAATCCACCAAGTACTGTAAAGTGCCCCGAGAAAACCTGGAATCATTTATGGAGGAGAGCTCATGCTCCTCCTGTCCAGAAACAACTAAGGGAGGAGGAAGGACACTTGAGACAGTATATTTATTGCAAACAAGAGATTTGAGCAAGGACACATGCAAGGTATTAGGAATTTTCAAGGAGGCCGGAAGGGCCAGAGAGTACGCAACAGGATTGAAAAGGTCTAAGGGACCTAGGAGCAAATTTCATGCTAGGGACTTTGAGCCTGATGTTATGAGAATATAACCAAACCCTTTCACCCACTTGGTAAACAGGGTTGGCACCTCAACGTGTATCAGCATAGTGCTTGAAACGGTCAGCAGCAGTACTCAGAGCAGATTGAACTTTAACCCAGGTATCACGGATGGAAGCCAGACAGTCATCCAAAGCAGGAATAGACGTATCAGAAAAAACAGCCGGTAGGACAGTAGGATGCTGGCCATTATTAACAAAAAATGGACTATGCCCAGAGGAGTCACGGTCAGCAATGTTCCTAGCAAACTCGACCCATGGTAGTAATTCGGACCAATTGACTTGAGTGCTATTAACAAAACAATGCAAATATAATTCCAAGGACTGGTTAGCCCTCTCAGCTGTACCATTTGTCTGGGGGTGGTAAGAGGATGAAAAAGACAATTCAATCCCTAATTTTTTATTGAAGGCCCTCCAAAACCTAGACACAAACTGAGAACCTCTGTCAGATACTATATTGTGAGGAATGCCATGCAGACGGACAATTTCTCGTATAAAGATTAGTACCAGGTCTTGAGATGACGGCAATTTCTTGAGAGGAATAAAATGAGCCATTTTAGAAAAACGGTCCACAACCATGAGAAAGGTGGTATAATCGTTAGAACTAGGAAGTTCAACAATGAAGTCCATGGACAAGTGGGACCATGGGACCTCAGGAATAGGAAGAGGATGTAACAAGCCACAAGGGAGTTTATGAGGCACTTTGGAAACCGCACAAACAGAACAAGTCTGCACATATTCCTTAACATCCTTCCTGAGGGAATCCCACCAGAATTACCTCATGATAGCAGAAGTGGATTTATTAATACCTGGGTGACCAGCAGACACATTGTCGTGAAACAACTTCATAATATTAACCCTTTCCCCCAATGGAACAAACAGTTTGTCCTGAGGTTTTCCCGCAGGGCGCCTGAGACTGAGCCTCCATGATGGAGCCAAGCAGTGGAGAGGACAATGAAAGGACAGTGGACGCAATGATACATTCCGGGGGAATGATATGGGATGTTTCTTGCTCTAGTATAGCCTCAGTATCAAACTGTTTGGACAAGGCATCAGCTTCTGTAATAAATCTTATAAATCTTCTTTAATAACTGGAGAAACCAATGAACCTTTGAATGGCCTTCAACCCAGTGGGTAAAGGCCACTGTAGAACAGACTCTAGTTTTTTAGGATCCATCTGAAACCCCGAGGCAGAAATATTATATCCTAAAAACTGTACTTCAGACTGGTCAAAGATACATTTTTCCAATTTACAATAAAGTTGTTTTTTTAACAAGGTTTGCAGAAATTGTTTAACGTGATCGTGGTGAGACTGGAGGTCAGGAGAATAAATAAGGATATCATCCAGATAGACCAAGACAAACGAGTAAATGT